AAAATGCATTGACCCATGTCACTTTGTTGTTGTTATTTACCATTGAGTAACTTTAGTTTTGTGTATTTCACTGCACAGAGATTATATTTCAATAAAGTGTATTTAAAAAAAAAAAAAAAACCAATGGTCAATTCTCTCATGCTTTCTTGAAAGCATCTAGCATCACTGTCCCCTCCCTTCATCTCAAGTTTCCCTGACCCACACTTTTTCCTGGTTCTCCTACTTCATTGGACTCTCCTCAGGCTCTTTTGCAAGTAGATCCTTCTCATCCCAACCTCTAAATGTTGGAGAACTCTAGAGGTTGGTCCTTTGTCCTTTCTCAAACCACACTTTCTCCCTAGTTGACCTTTTGGCTCTGACCAATTTCTAGTTCCAAGTTTTGGCCAGGGTTTTAGCTAACCTTTCTAAAGATAATGTCTCTCAGGTAAATTGTAACACAAATTAATTCACTTACCCACAACAGTGTTATGAGTGAGATTGCTGTCACATTTTAAATTGAGCATGTTGAAGAGTGAGGTATGAGATCCCTTGCCCAAAGGTGCATAGAGAAGAAGCAGCAATGGTGAGACTCAAATGAGCTCTGCCTACTCCACAGTTTGGGCACCCAACCCTCATGCTAAGCTAACCAGTTCCAGTCTATGAATGGCTCCCAGCGTTCTTCTTCTCTTACCATGATGAGTGAACTTTCTCCTTGTACCATGGGAGACGACAGAAACACAGGGTAACCCAGGTTGAGCAGGAGGCCCCAGCCAAGGAGTCACCCACCCAGAACCAAGTTGCCTCAGTGCTTCTTATGGCAGGAACAAGGAAAAGAAGGGGTTTGCTTCCTTCCCTCCACCCAGGCCAAGCTTTGGAGGATTTCCCTCTACAGGTAACACAGGGTACACTGCTTGCCTCAGCTAATCTGTGACAGAGGGCAACCTGGAGGCAATTCCATCCACATGATCTGTGGGGCTTTGGATACCTCTAGGCTCCATCTCATTTCTGATGCTCTCCTTGGAGCCAATTCTCTTCTTTTCTCCTTTCTCTCTCTCAAGCCCTGTTCTCAGTCAAATATCTGCAGTCACTCACTAACTTAGTAAGTCAGTCAACAAGCATATTGAGCACTCAGTTTGTGTAGACTCTGTGCCAGGCATGGGGAAGAAAAGGAAAGTGGCATGGCCAATCCCTGCTTTCAGGTGGGGCAGGACAATCCAGTAAACACATCTTTACCATGCAGGGCAAGGGAGAAAGGAGAGAGAGAACCAGAGGCTATTGCGCAAGTTGTGAGGGCGGCTAAGTCAGTGGAGCTATGGGCAGTCTAAAAGTTGAGTGGAGGTTGGCAGAGTAAAGATGAGAGGGACAGGTGTTGTAGCAGAGGGATCAGCATGTGCAGAGGCTTAGAGGTATGAGAGAGACTGGAGGCATGAAAGAGAGAAAAAAAGAGAGAGTATATATATGAGGGGTGTGTGTGTGCAAGCAATTTGGTTGAGTTAAGTGGTAATGCCTGTGGTGGAGGTGTGGACAAGGGCCAAGTCAGGAGCTAGAGAGCTATTGGAGAGCAATGAACATTTTGAATACATTAGATTCTAATTTTATTTTTAAAATAGCTACCCCTTACTTCTTAATGTGGATTAATAGTCATCTCTTCCAGAGGCTTGACATGCTGAACCTCATGCCTCAGGGCAGAATGAAGGCCTCCAGACCCATCATTGGAATTTTAGGCATTCACCTTGAGCTGTTAGGCAGAGGGCAGCCATTGACTTTGCTGTACCTGAGGTTGGCTTTGTCAGAAACTCACACTCCACTTGTTTAAGACACTTTTTCTGGGATAGTAGACAAGCCCAGGAAATCAGGAGCATTTGACTCAATGGTGCCCACTAAGAGTACCACAGACCACAGTCTGGCTCCCCATAAGCAGCTTTTCACAGCCACTGAGGGGAAGAAGAGGATCAAACTATGAGCAAGAGTGAGATTTGGGGTCCACGTGGTTAGTCATCCATACTGCCCTCTTCCTTCATGTAGTGGATGAGTGACTTGCCTAAAGTGCATTACAACATCCCAACTGTTTGGTCTACCACCAACATGCTAATGTTCCTCCTGACTCTGGCTGTTCCTCAACAGTGTCTTCTTACCTGGCAAATGAGGGATGGGGGTGCTTAATGCTCAATCATAGGTATAATCCTCTTCCCCCACCCATACTTTCCTTGAGCAAACTCAGTCTCAGCTGCCACCTATATACACACTTATCTACAACCTTGACCTCTCTTCTTTAGTGTCTCAACTCCACACCCCTACAACTGAAGTAATGATCTTTGTCTCCTTTCCTCAAAAACTCCTGGTCCTCCTTCACCCCTTCCTCCAGTTGCTCAAGTTGGACACCTCGGAGTCATCTTGGATACTGCCCTCTCCTACCTTGTCCATGAACTATCCATTGCCAAGTCCTGTCAATATTACCACCTAAGTAGCTCCACACCAGGAGTCCCCAGGTGATACAAACAGTTAAGCACCTGACTACTAGCAGGAGGACTGATAGTTCAAACCCACACAGAGGTGCCTTGGAAGACAGGTCACAGCCTTGAAAACTCTATGGACCAGTTCTGTTCTGCACACATGGGGTTGCCATGAGTTAGAATCAACTTGACCATAACTAACAACAACAAGTAGCTCTTGCATGTGTCTACTTTCTGTCTCTACCACCCCTTATGGAGCAGACCCTGGCAGTACCCTGCCCATACTTTTTGTGGTCTTTGCCTTTTCTGTGCATGCCAGCCCACTTCCCACTGCCAGCCTCTGAATTCCTTTGTTTGAGGACTTTCTCTAGCTCCTGGACCCCACTCTACCCACACACACAGCAGGCTGGAAGTACAAGGAGATGAATGCCCTCTCCCCAGAAGCAGCCCTAGCTCTGACTGACAGGGAATTCATTGATAAATACTTCAGCTCTGTTGTCACTTCTAGGTGTATGCTCTACACTGGCTCCCAGGGGGAACACGCTCCAGGTGCCCACAGACAACAAACAAACAAAACAAATGCGACTTTGACTTGCTTCCTTCCCTTTTCTGTCTCAGTTCCCCACTCCCCTGCTGGTGTTTCCTGGAATCACTGCCAAATAAAATACATGCATTTGAACCCTTGCTTCAGGGCCTATTTCTAAGGAACTTAAAAGAAGACACCTCTTTAGTCCAAGTGGTCATTCTCTCTTGCTCCAACCCCCCAGCCTCCCAATGATCTCATATCTTTTTCTAACTAACCTTCCACACTGCAGCAAGGATGATATTTTCATAAGGCAGATGGTCATGTCTCTCTCTCCTTGACTCTCTAGGGTGTGCCATTGCTGTTAGGATCAAGATGAAAATCCTCCACGTGGCCAGTGAGGTCCTGTGTTTTGTTGCCATGCTGACCCTCAAGCCTCATCTTGCATCAGGGTTTTCTCATCTCTAGGCTGTGTTCCAACACAGTGGCCTTCTTACTTTCCTGAAATGCACCATGCTCACTCCCACCACAGGTTTGTTCTTTCTGCCTGAAGCACTCTTTCTTCTTCTCTTTGCCAAATAACAATTTCATATCCGACTTGACGGCAGTGAGTTTGGTTTTGGTTTTTTTTTAGATTTCAGTTCAAACATGACTTCCTTAGGAAAACTCTCCTGGAGTCTTTGAACAGATTCAGACCCCCTTGTTTCACACTTACACAAACTGCAGATGGTACTGTACTTATCTCACTGTAATTGTATATCAATTTGTGGTTATTTAACTAACTTCTCCCTCATTAGACTTATGATGGCAGAGACTGCTCAGTGCCCATCCCTACGTATTCTCCTCTTTCTCAGTAACAGAACCTGATTTTGTATAAGATATCCAAGTGCACAGCTAAGAGCTCCATCACCAGCCTTGTTGGCCTGGAAGATGGCTGCACAGTTAAGTTCTGAGCAAGGAGATGTCAGCAGAGTCACCTGAGATACCTCAAAATTCCTTTTCTTCTTCTTCCTGACAGAAATATACTCCCTTCTCCACCCTGAAGTTGCAACATTCATCTTACCACCATGAGGGCAGAAGAGGCACATTAAGCAGAAAGATACTAGAAGGAACCTTAAGCATGACGACATTTTGGAATTTTGCATTAGCTCTGGGCTTTTTGTAATGTGTGAAAAACAAATTCTATTTGGTGAAGCCAGTTTATCAATCTGCCACATGCCACAAAACATATTCATAAGTGATAGGAGAGTAGTCCACATTCCTTTTTTTTTTCTCACCATTGTTTCCTTTATTTTTACCACATAACTGTAGGTGCTAAATAAATATTTATTGAATGAATGCTTTTAATTTAACACCACATCCATAAAATAGATGTAGAAACTGTGGCCTTGAGGCATTTAGTAACTTATTCAAGATCACAGTCAAATCTAAAAGCCTGAACTCTTTTCTTAAAGTTAAGCTTTTCTTTATCCTTAGATGATAGAGAGCAAAGATAAGAAGTTAAGGAAAGGAATAGAAATAAGATTAATAAATTAGCATTTAAATATTAAATTGTTATTTAAAGAGTTGGTTATAATAACAATTAGTATCTTCATTAATAATATTTGTGAAATATTTATACTTTCCATAGCTTATCTCATTTGTCACTACAGTCCTGAAGTTGACAGTATCATCTCCATTCTATACATTAGGAAACTGAGGTTCAGAGAGTTAAATAATTTGCTCAAGGTTGCACATCCAATGGATGTCAGCCAGCATTAGACCCAGGGGCAGATTACCTTATTAGCAAGGTAAGCAAGACTTACTTGTGCTTACTTACTAATCTGTAGTGAAGATTTTCACATGGGTTTCACTGTATCTTTGAGTGTGTGTAGACTCCTCACTATGATCACTCAATAACCTCCATAACTGATTATCTGGCTGAATGGAACTGACCCAGCCATCCATATCCCCATCCTGACCCAGAGTACAAGCTTCCCTTGATCCAGTGGGATCAGACATGATCCAAGTCCAAGAGTGGCCATGGTGCTAAGGCAGTCATGTACCTGGTGTTGGCTGCTCCTTGCGCAGGTCTTCTGTCCACTCCCTGGAGAGATCTTGCAGGCACTGGTCTCGCTCTGCCCACAGTACCTGGAGCACATCACATAGTCGAGGAAGGGGTCCAACCTGCAGGCCCAAAACCAAGAATGCATATCATTGCCACCAACTCAATTCTACCACATGAGGACTTTCTATGAGCAAAAATGGTATTAGTTAACAGAGATCAAAATGAAAAGGTAAAGTCCCTGTCTGCAGGGAGCTCCTTCCTAGTTTCCAGGGAGGTGGAGATAGCCACTACTAGGAGATAATTCAGAAAACAGATGGGAAACTTGGGGTGTTTAAAGAGTCTAGGGCTTGTCCAGTGCAAATCTTACCCTAAGTTTATCAAGGCTCCCAAGTCCAGTGAACTATTTGCTTTCTAGACATCTTACTATTAGTTTACTATTAGTAAACCAAAAACCAAACTCATTGCTGTCAAGTCAGTCCTGACTCATAGTGACCCCTCCTTGAGTTTCTGAGGTAGGATCTCTACAGAAGTAGATTGCCCAGTCTTCCTTCCGAGGAGTGGCTGGTGGGTTTGAACCGCCAGCCATTGGGTTAGCAGTCAAATGCCTTAGGCACTATGCTTAAATTATTCCACTCTGGCTTTGCTAATATTTTAGCATTTGAAAGCTTAGTCTTGATTCAGACAATTTCTCTGAAATCTACAATTAGCATTATATCTGTCCCACAGGAGAGAGCAGACATCCAACTCAGATGAACAGAAGGCTGCAGTGGGGAGTTGGATGGAGGTTAGAGGAAAGACTGGCAACACTTCTGCTTCTCAGCTCTTCGTAGAGTAGATTTTTATAGCATGGCTCCATTATTTTATTTGTGCCTGTTGTGGAATGGATAAATAAATGAAGGAACAACTAAACAGATGAATGACTAGACTCTTAATTTCTTTTTTAAAAGATGAAAGATTTTAATATTACAAGTCTCTTTCACATATATTCACTTACTTAGGTCTCACAATAACCTTGTCAAGAGAGGAGAAATGCAATTGAGGCCTATGGTGGTTAGGGGATGCGATCAAGGTCATACATTCAAGACTCCTTATTTCTGGCATCAACATTTCATTAATATTTTATAGGTGGCAATACCAACATAATGGAACAGGGGAAGAAGGCCACACTCTAAAACAAAAGTTCTGGGTCAGAGACAACAAATGATTCCAAAGGCAAACATAAATAATCTTCTGTTATCTTCTAGTTTGGATCTCCCACATATCATCACCCTTAACTAATGCAGTCTAAAAAGATCTACCAATCAGAAGGGTAGCATTTGTGCAGGGAGATAGCTCAGAGGGCAGGAATGCATAGGGAAGAAGACACAGGGAAAAATGCAATGAGAGAGAGGAAGTGGGAAGGGAACTGGTACATTATGGGATTGCAATAAATGTCATGAAACAAAATGTGTTTGAACTGTTGAATGGAAAATGGATTTGCTCTGTAAACTTTCACCCAAATCACAATTAAATAATAGTAATAATAATTAGAATATCTACCAGCTGTCAGCAACTGTCTTTCAACTCCCATTGCCTGACTTCAACTATCTGGGTTTGTGGTCACCACAAAACACCCAGATTGTGTACCCTGGCCCAGAACCTGTGACTGGCCATGACAAAAAACAACTGCAGAAATGCCTGGCCCTACCTAACTCTAAGGTCATATCATACTCATTCCTTCTCCTCTCACTCATCACTCCTTGCCTCTAAGTTTCCATTTCACTCCCACCCTAATCACTTAACCGTATTATTTCAATTTTTAAGGTTCTTACATTGAAGCAAGCAGTTTCCCTAAAAATATAGTTAATTGTCAAGAGAACAGACATGCATTCCCACAGACTTGTGTCCTTGTCCGCTTCCTTGTTGAGTTTCTGCCCAGTCCTAGCTGAAGCTCATCATTTCAGCTGGATTTTCAGCAGAGGTGGTGGAAGAGCCAGAGTGGAAAAAAAAAATCTACCTACAGGTCAGCAGGTACAACCCAGTGGCATCACTGGGGAGCTAGGGGGAGTGTGGGATACATTGGATGATACTGTCAGAGGGGGTACCACCAAAATAACTGTCCATAAAATTTTTATGTGGTGTTTCAGCAGAAACTTATTGTTTTTTAATAAAAATATCCCTGTAGTTAGTTATAACAACAAAGTATTTTCTGTAAGCTTTGCTTACATGTATAAATATAACACAAGGCTAAAACTCTAAGCTTATTTATTTTTTGAACTTTCTAATGAGCTCTCATCAGAGCTGTTATTATTACCCAATTACAATGATGCTTTGAATCACGTGGTTTTATCAGTATGTGCTACAAGTACACAGTATTGCTTTAATTGCTGCCAATGTTATTATAAAGCAAACCCAAACCCACTGCCATCAAGTCCGAATAGAACTGGACTGAACAGAACTGCTCCATAAAGTTCCCAAGGCTATAAGTCTTTATGAAAGCAGACTGTCTCATCTTTCTCCTATGGAGCAGCTAATGGGCTTGAAAAACCAACCTTTTGGTTAGGCTCCAAGTGCCACCAGAGTTCTTGGTGTTATTATTGTCACTGATTTTGTCAAATTTTCTGATGTTTTGGCTACAATATTGTGGTAAATAGTATTTGTGAACCTGTATCAGTAACTTTTTTTGAACATGAAGTAGTAATTAAAGGAAAAGGAGAAAATAAAAAAAAGCTTCTACTCAGTTACTATTAATGTTGTAACTGAATGTAGAAAGATTTTACAAAATAATTTTGTCAGTATTCATATAATCTAAGGAATATTACATTTAAACAATTTACAACTATACTTATAATGTATTATTCTGTGATTAAAATTGATAATAAACATTACTAAAGATTACGTATGGTCTTGTATGGGAGGAAGTCCTTGGGGGGAGGGTGATACCATGAGTTATTGCACTGGATGACACCAACTCTAGTGATGCCACTGATACTACCTTTAGTTCACTAGGGATCTCAATAGGCAAACATTGTGTTTAAGGTCACTTTGAAACTAAAATTACTCTTAATATGCTAGAAGTGGTATGAACAGATACAATCTTTTAAGCAATTTAATAATATGTATTAAGTATCATAAAAATGTTCCTATCCTTTGACCAGCTCTTCTTCTGGGAATTCATTCTATACATGGAAAAGCTTTATATAGAAAGATTCTGCAGAAACTTTATATTTAACAGCAAGAAAAAGAAAGAGATAGACTTCCATTCTCAGAAAGACAGAGTAGACATAATTTTCTCTATTCATCTCATCTATTTCTACAACTAAAATTTTGAACATTGTATATAAAACAAACATAAGAAGACTCTGAAAAGTGGAGAGAAGAAGGTAGACCAGTTAGGGAGTCCAAGACCCAAGGAATGACATGGTGGAGGATTCTCTGGGTTTTCTTTTTATCATGTATCTCAGACTAGACCTGAAAAAAAAATCAGCAATCACAAAAGGCCAAAGGATACAAACAAAAAGAGCCAAGCAAAAACTTTTCTTTCCAAATTACCAGGGAAGGGGCAACACGGTAAGCAGAAAACTTTTAGACAATAACTGCTCAACTCTTGTGAAACACCACAGACAAAAATGTGGCCCCACCTCCGCCCATACCAGCAAAGGCTGAGTGGGGAGGCTGGATTCCCACAATTTCCAGTCTGTAATAAGGCTGCCAGGATGGTATCAGAGGAACCAAAGTAGAGAGCCAGAACTTTTACCCTGCCATATGGTAATTAGGCTTCCCTATGGCGACCTCATGAGGAGCTGTCACTCCCATTGTCATCCAATGGTAATGAGAACCTTTTCCTCCCAGGTGTCAAACGAAGCCAAGTAGGGAAGCTGGACTTTTACTTCCACTTGACAGTACTCTAAGCTTATTTATTACTCCTGTCCCCTGTAAGAAAGAGCCAACTGAAAGAGGGTTGAATAAGACTCAGTCTCGCAACATAAGAAAAAATTTCCAGGTCTCAAAGTTCACTCATTATATTAAGAACCAGGAATATGTCAAGCTGAATGACAAAGAATACAATTGTTTGATGCCAATACTGAAACAACAGATTGTTAAAATGATATGACAAAGATTTTAAAGTCATAATCATAAAAATGCTTCAATGAGCAATTATAAACATGCATAAACAAATGTAGAAACAAACCTCAGCAAAGAAGTAGAAGATATAAAGAAGAATGAAATGCAAATTTTAAAACTGATAAGGAAAACGACCAAAATGAAAATTTCAATAGATGGGGTCAAAAGCAGAATGGGGGAGGGTGGAGAGAAAAAAAAAAATCAGTGATATGGAAGATAGAGCAATAGAAATTACACAATCTGACAAAAAGATAAAGTAGACAAAAAAATAAAAAATAAAAATCACACCCTTCCTTAGGGACTTGTAGGACTATAACTAAGGTCTAACATTCATTCCATTAGAGTCTCAGGAGAGGTGAAAGAGAATATGGCTGGAAAAGTACTTGAAGAAATGATGATTAAAATTGTTCCAATTTGAAAGGACATAAATTTATAGATTCAAGACACTGAACAAACCCCAAGCAGAATAAACTTAAGGAAATTCTCATCAAACACAAAATAATTAAATTAAAGACAAAGGGGGAAAAAAATCTGGAAGGCAGCTAGAGAAAAATTACACCTTACTTGTAGGGGAAGATAATTAGAATCACCACTGATTTTTCCTCAAAAGCCATGGGATCCAGAATAAAGTGGCACAATATTTTCATGGGCTGAAAGAAAAGAAATGTAAACCTAGAATTCTATACCTAAAAACAACAACAAAAATACAATTCAGTAAGAGAAGTGAAGACTTTCACAAATAAGAAAAACTTAAGAGAATTTGTTACCAATAGACCTACCCTAAAAGAATGGCTTGGGAAATTCTCTAAACTGAAAAGAACCTTGACACATCATGAAAAAAGAAAAAATACAGTAAGTAAAAATCTAAGTGCAATAGACTTTCTTTCTCCTCTTCAGTTTTCCAAATTGTGTTGATGGTTGAAACAAAAATTTTAATACTGTCTGATGTGGCTCTAAATGTATGTAGAAGAAATATTCAAGACAACTATAAATGGGCATTAAAAGGGATATAAAG